GACTCTCATTAAAGATGAGGGAAGCTAAGTGACAGGTTTCGGTCTGAAGCTGAACATAGAGGCCTCTTTGCAAAAGAGGGGCCTGAGCTGGGGTCTGTCAGATACTTCCTGATGAGGTATGTTTCTAAAAGTGAGACACGTCCATTCTGGCCCCTCTTATAAAACCATCTCCCACTGGGCGTGGTGGTGGCTCATGCCTGTAATCCCAGCAATTTGGAAGGCTGAGGTTGGGAGTTAGAGGCCACCCTGACCAACATGGAGAAACCCTGTCTCTACTAAAAATGCAAAATTAGCCAGGTGTGGTGGCGCATGCCTGTAATCTCAGTTATTCCGGACACTGAGGCAGGACAATCACTTGAACCCAGTAAGCCCAGATTGCACCACTGCACTCCAGCCTGGGCAACAAGAACAAAATTCCATCTCAAAACAAATCATCTCCCAAAAAGCAGGCACTCTAGTACTCAGACTTTTGCCAAACCCAAGGACCACTGTGCTTATTAACTATATTCTTTAAGTATCTTAGAATGTTTTAAAATTTACAGCATCAACTTTTGTTTCAGCCTAAACAGAAGTACCGTGAAACCCTGGGTTTGGGTAAAACTTACATTTTTTTTCCCCACCACCAACCAAGAAGAAGACATAATTATGCCTTTTTGTTTTTATGCCACGGGCCTTTGAGAATTATCTTGTGCACCAGCAGCGGTCACATGCTTTGGAAAGCATTCATAAGATGAAAGAGACAACTTTCGGTCTTATTTATTTACTGCAAATTTTTAAAATTCATTGCATTTTGAGGAAAGACAGTTTAGAGAAGTTTGCGATCAGATGACCAGAAAGAGAAATCTTCAAAGCGCATGACTTTGCTGTTGGGAAAACTTGCTTGATCTTAGATTATGAGTGGTCTACACTGAGGAGCTTGCTTGTCTGTGTTCATATCCTGCATGGTGATGGCTATTTTGCATCCTAGATTTCTCAGGACAATCCTGGTGCCACATACTCCCCTGGTGACCCCTCCCTCAGCTCTGGACCTAGAGTTCTAGGAAGCTGATGTCATCTAGCCTGTCCCTAAAGAGCAAGAACTGAAGAAGTCTATTCTTCACCCTCAGTCCCTTTTAGATCATCAGAAGCCTGACTTGCCAAGGAAGATGAGGGCCCCAGGAATTCAATTATTCACTTTAACAACTACTCATTAAGCACCGGAGATACTCCATGAACAAAACCAACAGTGTCGCTGCACGGGAAGAAGGGAGGGACTCATTTGGCCGGTTCTCCTCCGGCCGCCTTCCTCCCTATATCCTGCCCCAAGATGGGCCAGCGTTCCCAGGGTTCAACAGCTGTGCCCAAGACCAACCCAGCTCTCAATAGGAAGTGACCTACTGCCTGAGCAGAGCTCTTGGCCACCATTGTCCCATCAGCACGGGAGCACGGAAATCCAGCATCCTGGACAGATGACATAAGGTCCCAGATCCTGGGGACATGGGCCTGAAATCCCACTGAACTCCCCTCAGCTGTGACCTAGATCTAGTCCTGGGTCAGCTGCCAAATTGCTGTGTGACCTGGGGACACTCCACCTCTCCAAGTGTCCCTGGCTGTGAGTGTCACACTGGGACTTTCTAACATCATTGCACCCTAAAATTCTCCAATCTTAGCCCAGGGGTGCCCTGAATGCAGTGAGCTCTCACCCTTCCTTTCAGGCGCCGGAGGAGGCTGAGTACCTGGAGGGTGGAGCAGGACCCGGTGCCCTCATCACCACCGCCAGCCTCCACCCAGGTGTCAGGTTACCAGCCCGCCACTCTCGCTGGGTGGCAGCTCTCCCTCTGATATTTTTAGACTCCCCCCTGGCCTGTCCCTAACAAGAGCCACATGCATCTGATTCCTGCCACAGTGCTGCTGAAATTGCATACTTTGGCTAACTTCTGCAGCGAGCCAGACGTCACCATTCCTGGGGTGAGAAGGGGATCCTCCTCTTCCGCAGCCACCACACCAATCCCCATTCCTTCCCTGCACATGCTGAGGCCATCACCCAAAAGTCAGGCCTCTGGTCCTTTCTATGATGCCAACTACCCTCTTCCTTCATTCCAGTTGCTGCTGCCAATCACCTGCCCTCCTGAGACACCCACATACACACACCCCTTCTGCACAGGCATCCCAAGGGGGGCCCTTTAACTCGTTCCTCTGGTAGAGCTTTGCCCCATCAATCCCAGTTTCTGGGGCCCTACCCCACCTTTGGGTAGGTAAGGCTGCAACCTCCCCTCTGGATGGAGAGTCCCGCCCCGTCCCGTCCCCACCTTAGCTCCCATAGCCCGTGCCAGAGTTCCCACTTGGCCACAGAGCTGGGAAGCAGCCACATGTTGCAACACACACACACACACACACACACACACACACACACACACACACACTTCCCCCAACCCCCGGAGGGTGGCTGGACTCCTGCTTCCCAAACAAACCTCACCTATCAGCCAGCAGTCCGGCACCACCTCATCTGGCCTGAAGAGACATTTATGTATTTTCATCCCGACAGACTTCCCCATCTGGTCATGTCTGGCCGAGTTTACTATGACAAAGAAGTGGCCTTTGCTGTGCCCTCACCAACCAGGAAGGCCGCAGAGCAGAAGTGAGGGCAAGGGAGTGTCATTCTATGCCTAGGGTGAAAAATGGGCTGGCTGATCCTCCCTGTGAATTACTTGTTGCTGGAAAATGAGGAGTCTGTGCACATTGGCATGTGGTTTTAGCTCCTACTACGAAAATATTATGTGAGAGGCAGAGAAAAGAAACTGGGGTGAAACATTCACTTCCATTCAGGGAAGAAAGGATTTAAGTGCCATTACTGGGGTGGGTATAGGGGAGCAGGGAGGGGTTGCTAAAGGGATGTGCTCCTAGCCACAAATGCCACCAACCCCTGTTAGCTCCTTATTAGCTAGACCCTAATCTGGGGTGATGCCAGCCAGAGCGGGTTCACCCCCTCCTCCCACCAGGGGTGGGGCAGTGTCAGCCCCAAGCCCCACCCTCTTCACGCCTGGCCCTGCCCTCACCCACCCAGCTGGTCAGCTCCATGGTTTCCAACACAAACACGTTCACTGGATTTCAGGCACATCTCAATCTCTCCACTTGAGCGGCAGAGGAGGCTCCAGGCTATGTGGCCAGTGCTCTGTCTCCTACTCAACTGACTCCCCGGTTCCCCACGGGGGTGGAGGTGGTGAAATTCAAAAATCCTCAGTGGGAAAACAGGTTCTGCACCTTCCTGCCACCCCCATGCCTCTCCCTGGGCTGTGAGCTTGGCATTTGCCAAGGCCCCCATGGGCATCCACGCCCTGTTTTCCCCAGAAGGGTTTCCCCTCATTCCCTGCAGACCAGCAGGGCATCTCCAGGTGGAAAGAAGGGGAGGGCTTGGGAGGCAGATGGAGGTTCAAGGTCTAGTTCTTTGCATTTACCAGCTCAGCAGCCTTGAGCAAGCTGACTTGGATCGCTGGCCTGAATTTCCCCACTTGTAGCAGGGAAGTGTGCTGGAAACAGAACAGGGGTAAGGCTCCCAGGGAGAAACCAAGACGAGGGCGAGCACCAGCGACTGCAAACCTCCAGCAGCTCAGGTCGCCATCCTTTCCCTTGTGTGACTCCTGGGAAAACAGGACCCTGTACCCTTCCTCATCCTCTTTAAGATTTCTTAACTGGACGACCAAATTCCAAGAAGAGGTGCCCAGCAGTGGTGTGTTGGTTCTAAGATTTTTCTCTGATTCAGACTGGAGTGCAGATGTGGCTGGAGGTGTTTTTTAAACACAATTTCATGATAAAATTGCATAATATCCTAATCATCATTTTAACCGATGGTAAGCAGACAATTCAGTGGCATTAAATACCTTCACAATGCTGTGTAACCTTTGCCACTATGTATACCCAAAACTTTTTCACCCTCCCCAACAAAAACTCTGTCCCATTAAACAGTAACTTCCCGTTCTCAGGCACCCCAGACCCTGGCAACCACCATTCCACTTTCTGTCTATAAAATTTGCCTATTCTTGGTGTCTCATAAAAGTGGAATCACACCACTTGAATTGCAGGCTTCTTAAGTCCCGCTCCAAGCCCCTTACTTAGACACAGCTGAATTATAAAATCAAGGTGCGCACACATGTACACCACACACACACACACACACACACACACACACACAGCTTCAGAGCTTGGGAGAGGCAGTGCTCCCTTCCCCAAATCTGAAGCTGGCAGGTGTTGTACTCTGAGCCTGGAGGAGAGCGTTGCCCTGTGGTGTCCTCAGAGTCCCCGTGTCAGCCCCACATCTTCACCAAAAGACCTCCCTGGAGTGCGCTCAGGTCTCTGGATTTGGGGAGGAGGACATAGGATCCACACCCCGAGCTGCAGCCTCCCCTCCCTCTGGCACCCATGGGTGTGGTCTTGACTCCTTAAAGCCCCCTCAAGCCCTAATAGAGTTGGCAGGGAGAGAGGTGTCATCCCAGCAGCACCTCTAGGCTCACCCACCACTCCAGACCCCCAAGAAGTCGCTCCTCGCCGCTCGGGGGCGCGACGGAGCAGCAGCAGGGGCCGGGAGGGGTGCAGGCAGCCCAAGAGGACCCACTGGCCCGGCCTGGGCGCACCAGTCCTGCCCGCGCGGCGAGGCTGAGGACGCTGCCCGGGGGTCCCTCACGCGACCTAGGGATCGCCCTGGACTACGTGAGCCCCGGGAATGCGTCCAGCAGGGCGAGGGGGAGGTGCCCTGACTCCTCCCCAAACTTTTCCCGCCCGTTTCCGCGCAAAACGCGTGGGAAGCTGTCCCGAGGTGGAGAAGTGGAATTCGGGGGCCCGAGCGAGCGCGGCGTAGACTGAAGGTCGGCGGCATGGGTGGCGCCTCGGCACCCCCGTTACAGTCACCAATTCCGGGGGCCGCTCCTGGTCCAGTAAGTGGAGGAGTCGCGTCCCTGCTGCCCCGGCGCACGCAATCCTGGGGACCCCTGATGTCGCCCCGCGCCCTGGACGCGCCCCCAACTCACCTGGCGCTGGCGGCTGCGCCTGCGGCTGGAACGACTGACGGGCTGCGTAGCGAGGCGAGGCCGCCGGGCTGTTTTGAAGCTCTGGGCTGGGATTGCGCGGCCTCCCTCCACCCTCTCGGCAGCGCGGAGCCTCCTCCCCCGCTGTCCCTCCTTTCCCCGATCCCGCCTCCCGCGCTGTGACGTCAGGAGCCGGGAGAGCCGAGTGGGAGGGGCCGCTGGCGAAGGGAGTGGTGCCTTAAGGGAAAGGCAGAGCCCCGGAGCGCCCAGGCGCCCCCCAGTCCCCGTCCGCTTTTCGGCGGCTCTTTGGCCAAGTTGGGCGGAGCCGGTGGCAAGGGCCAAGGAGGAGGGGGGTGAGGATGGCGGGGAGGAGGAGAAGAAGAGGGAGAAAGGGAGGCTCCCTTCCCTGCAGGTTTCCACATCCCTCTCTTCCTCTTTCCTCTCCTCTTCCTCCCTGTTCTTCTTCCTCCCTAAGGAGTTTTGGAATCCGGGCTTCCTGCTCTAGAACCCCTTCTCTGGACTTTTATTTTATTTTCTGAAAGGGAGTCTCACTCTAGCCCAGGCTGGAGTGCAATGGTGCGATCTCCGCCTGCCTCCCAGGTTCATGCGATTCTACTCCTTCAGCCTCTCCAGTAGCTGGGACTACAGGCGCCCACCACAACGCCCAGCTAATTTTTGTATTTTTGGTAGAGACGGCCTTTTACCATATTGGCCAGCTGGTCTCGAACTCCTGAACTTGTGATCCGCCCACCTCGGCCTCCCAAAGTGCTGGGATTACAGACCTGAGCCACCGCGCCCGGCCTTCTCTGCTGGCCTTTTATGAGCTTACAAGCTCGTCCATAATCTCTCCTGCCTCCGTTTCCTCTTCTGGAAATGGGTATGATTGTAGGAACCTGCCCCCGAGACGTCAGCCATTGTTATTTGTATCATCTCACCTGGAGTCCTGGCCTTGGTATGAGATGGCCAGCAACCAGTCTTTAGATTCTTCCAGGATCCCCTATCACTCCCCCATCAATACACACACGCACACACTCTCACACAAACCACTCACCACAGCCTTTCAACTCACAGTCTTGGAATTTAGTGTCCCCGGAAATGACATCAAAAGATAAGGAACTGCCTTTCTTTCCAGCCTCAGTTTCCCCATCTGGAAACTGAGAGGGCTGATCTGCTCTAGATGGTCTTGGGAGATGGGGGAGGAGACCAGAGGCACCTGATCTCCATCATCAGGTGTGTGAAAGGAGGGAGTGGGAGTCAGTGCATTTTTTTTAAATTGAAGAAATTCCCAAACAGGGCCACAATATATAAAAGTATATTTTAAGACTTTTAACAAGTCTTAAAATAGTATACTTAAATACTTGAATAATATACTTTTAAAATACGTACAACAGTATATTTTAAGACTTTTAACAGTTCTTAAAATACAAAATTGACTTGTGCCACTGACAAGAGACTGAGAAGCCCTTTTAAGAAATATTACTTTATAGCCGGGCGCGGTGGCTCACGCCTGTAATCCCAGCACTTTGGGAGACCGAGGCGGGTGGATCACGAGGTCAAGAGATCGAGACCATCCTGGTCAACGAGGTGAAACCCCGTCTCTACTAAAAATACAAAAAATTAGTTGAGCATGGTGGCGCCTGCCTGTAATCCCAGCTACTCGGGAGGCTGAGGCAGGAGAATTGCCTGAACCCAGGAGGCGGAGGTTGCAGTGAGCCGAGATTGCACCATTGCACTCCAGCCTGGGTAACAAGAGCGAAACTCCGTCTCAAAAAAAAAGTATTACTTTATTGTGCAATCATGTGCTCTGGTTGGACTCCATGTTTATATTTTCTGTTGAGCATCTTTTTTTAATCCTACTGAGGAGCTCTGTCAGGAGAGGGCCTTGCTGGGTCTAAATTAGAGATCCTTGGGGGATTTGAGATCCCCTCCAGAGGGCTACCCTGTCCCCCAGGCCTTGGGCTTCCCAGTTGGGGAAATCTCCTGGAATTCTACGGTTAACCAAGACAAGACTCTCATTCCCCAAGATTGTGTGTGTGTGTGTGTGTGTGTGTGTGTGTGTGTGTGTGTTTGGAGCTGGAGAGGGGACAGGAAGGCACTAATATGAATTGAGTCTTCTTCCTCCATAAAAGGGGAGGAGAGTGGGTTGTGGTTGCTATAGAGGAGGGCCAAGAGGGCCCACCCACCTGCCCATGGCCAAGTGGAGGACAGAGAAACCCCCAAAGTCTCCCAGAAGGGTAAGGCCAGGTAAGGGATGGAGCAGGCAGGTTTCTGCATTTGCTGAGGGCTCAGTGTGTGCTGCTTACTTAACAAACATAACCTTCAATAGAACATGGCAGCCCTGTAAGGCAAGTTACCCTCATTTTATCATGAAGAAACTAAGGCTTAGAGAAGCTGCATCAGTAAGTTGCCCAAAGGATCTACGCAATCGATAAAGTTTGGATTTGAACCCAGACTCGCTTCAGGAAACCCCATTCTCCTCTTTCCACTCTATCACTGTTGACCAAATGCTAACCACACTCGAGCTTTAATTTTTGCCATATCCACCTTCCACCTGAACTAGTGTTCCCTTAATTGTTTTATTTAAATTAACTGTTTATTTTTGTATGTTTATTTGAAAAGAAAGCCCTGTATTGCCATGGTAAACAGGAAACCAGTGCTATCTGCCAAAAATAGGAGACTAACTTATGAATATAAACACTATTGAAAGAAAACAAATTGCAGCCAGATACTGTTGTCTGAAAGAGTGCGCCTGTGAGGTTTAGGTCTATTAAAAAGGGACCCAGGTGTGGTGGTGCTTACCTGTAGTCCCAGCTGTTCAGATGGCTGAGGTTGAGGATCACTTGAGCCTAAGAATTCCGAGGCAGCCGAGGCAACATAGCAAGACCTGTCTCTTAAAAAGCATTCATGGGGGTGATCAGCAAGATTTTTTAAAGCATGCTGACACAGAGAAGTCTTTCCCCTGTTGCTTTCAGAACGATTGCAAGATCCTTGGAAAAGAGAGTCATGTTCTCACTCTGATTCAGAGCCAAGAGATGCCTCCTCCCTGTACTATCTCCAAAGCCACCAGCTGGTGGAGTGTGTCCCAACTGGGAAGAACCTGGCCAGACCCCAAGATGCCTCTCCAAGACCCAGAGAAAGGAATGGGCCAGTTATTCCTCTCCCTCATTTCCAGACCCTCTCCATAGCCCCACCTGTCTATCCCGTTCACCTGCTACTTGCTGTTCTTTGTTTTCTGTCTTTAAATATGCTCTTGTCCATCCAGGAAAATGAGAAACAGAAACCTGCCTCATACCTGCTTGTATCCCTGCTTCTGGTGTTTCAATAATGAACTTGATGTGGGGGAAAGTAAGAGTGTGTTTGATTGAGTTCTGGTCCCAGTCCTGCAGCCCCTTATAGTGGTAGTATATATACCCCTACCCTAGCCATAGCCTCATGACAGAAGTATATTCTTCAACTTCATCTTGAGGTTGGCCATGTGACTTGCTTTGAACAATGAGATATTAGCAAAGATGACACACACAAAGAATGGAAGGGTGCCTGAACAGTAGGATTTGCCCTCTCTCTCTTTTGCCATTTCCATGAGCATAGTGGTCCCAGAAAATGAAAGACATGTGGAGTAGAGCTACCCTAGAGGACCTACAGAATTTCTGTCAGACACACAGAGCTGCTCCAGCCAACTGCAGACATGTAAATGGGAAATACATGCTAACTGTTGCATGCCACTGCGGTTCATGGCTGTTTCTTTCACAGTAGTAGCTGGTCTATATGGAGAGAGAGAGAAAGAACTGTAAGGAAGGCATTTGAAGGCATGGAAAGTCACTGGGGTTGGGGGCTTGGTTCAGGGTGGGGATAGAAGATGACTGATTATACGGTGATCTCTCATGTGTCTTTCTGGCTTGAACATTTTGGGGTTCTGCAGTCTCTTGTAACTGGATCCCGCTCACTCTTTCCTTGTCTTAGAAGGAATGACTAGGGGTGCCCATGCCTGGGTGCAAATCAGATGCTCAACCTTAAGAGAACCAAACAGTTGTAGCAGCATAGGTCACGGAGAAGACAACGTGGACTCTTGCTAAGAAGGATGGAGTTTTTATCAAAAATATACAAACTCCTGATGGGAATAGATTGCATATAAATGTGATTCAACCATCATAATCCACTTTTGGCTGGCTGGTTAGCTGAATCTTAACAGCTTCCAGGGGTTTTACTAACTTCCATTCAGTGGCTGTTTCCTTTGAAAACAAACTGCATACATAGGCTGCTAAGATAACCCCGAGCCCCTGCACCTCCCAGTGTTCATGCCTTTGTGTAGTTCTCTCCCCTTGAGAGTGGGCTGCACCTAATGACTTGCTTCTTTTTTTTTTTTTTTTTTTTGAGATGGAGTCTCGCTCTGTCATCCAGGCTGGAGTGCAGTGGCACAATCTTAGCTCACTGCAACCTCTGCCTCCTGGGTTCAACTGATTCTCCTACCTCAGCCTCCCGAGTAGCTAGGATCACAGGCACCTGCCACCACGCCTGGCTAATTTTTGTGTTTTTAGTAGAAATGGGGTTTCATCATGTTACCCAAGCTGGTCTCAAACTCCTCACCTCAGGTGATTCACTCACCTCAGCCTCCCAAAGTACTAGAATTACAGGCGTGAGCCACTGTGCCTGGCCATGAAAGCACTTCTAAGGGCAGCTCAGCTGGCTGCCATCTTGGTATGAGACAGATGGTTGGGTAGACTCTTCCCTACTGTATGAAGAATCAGGAAATCTGAATTCCCTTGAGTGGAACCTGAGAAACATGCTTTCTTGAGGCCATTTCCTCCCCGTCGCCTACCTCTGCAGACTGGGTTGGAGGCAGGATGGAGATAATGATTTCAAGCCCTAGTTATCATGCAACTTGAAGCTCAGAGTTCTGGGTCTCATGGCTTCTCCCCATGAGTTAGGGGGTAGAGCCATACCTTTTGAGTCTGACCTTTCCTGCCTCCTTTTATCTCTGATTTCTGTCACAGAAATACCTGCAAACCACTGTCATAACGCATCCTGCAAATGCAATAAGAATGAACAGTACAAATAGTATCCGTTTGACTTACGACAAAGAGGGTTTGACTAAGCACCAAAGACAGCAACCACAGAATTCCCAGTTATGGAGAAGCTGAAAACCATGCTGTCTTAGGCCGTTTTGTATCTCCTAAAGCCATCCC